GGTTCTGGCTTGTCAGGCACGGAGTGGCTGAAGTGGAGTTCCGTGGATGCGGATTGTTGTTGCTCTTGTTGTTGTTGTGGTGGTGGTGGCTGTTGATGTTGTTCTCGTCGTTGTTATTGTTGGTGTTAACGGTGGTGGTGCTGGTGAATTCACAACGCTAAAGAATAACTGTTGTCGATCCCCCCCACGGCAACCGTTGCACTGTTCAACTAAGTGCTCCTCCTGCGGCTCGCACTCTCTTTCATCAGGGAAAACCTGTGGTCACCAAACTGCGCCCCTGGCCCCCAGTTTACTGCAACAACAACAACGGCTCCCGCCTGATGCTTCGTCACACTGTATTTCAAATTCCCGCTCTCGCGCGGGACATCCTCATAGGAATCGCGCTCTCGCATGGAAATTCCTTACAATTTGTTGTGGCCGCGTGCCCCCACGACTCAAAAACCACGCTCTCGCTGTGGACTTCCTAGCGATTTGCTTGGAAATCGCGTGATCGCTCGAACCTTCCTTCATGATGGGTTGACGCTTTAGCGACCCGCCTGCTCGAACTGGCCGTCTGGCCCCACCCGCCCGACCTGCCCGTTTGGGTCCGCCCGCCCGACACGCCAGGCTGGTTCTGCAATTTGCGCTGCTGCTCCTAACCCTCCTCGTGCTCCATCCGTTACCCTCCCCCTTGTTTCTTCAGTCTTCCCCTCCGTCCCCTGTTTGAATGGCTGCGGCAACCACACGCGGCAGGCATGGAACATATACACCCAAGAGGGGGCACGATCAAAGACGAAAAGGGCGGGTACCGGGGGTTGGGGATAGACGCGTTGAATGGCGCGCGAGCAGATAAGAGCGAACAGTTTTAAAATGATTGTTCATGATGTTGTTGAACTTTCACTCTTCGACAATAAATTCTCTTGATCCCCCCACCGGTGCGCATGACGTTTTTCAATTGAAGTGGACCCCTCGGGGCTCGCACCTTGTTTTCCATTAAAGAGAATCCGCCGGCCCCCTTGCGGAGCCATCAGGCTGCGAAGAGTAGGCTTGCAGCTCCCTGTACCAGTTGCAGCTTCCAGTTTCCACTCTTACAGTCCTGTTTTCTGCTTCCTTACTGCTAATTATTGCTGAACGCGCGAGGGGGGAGCCGAAAAGCGTCCTGGCTAGCGTCCCCGAATCGCGTTTTCTGAATGGGATCGTGGGATATTCGGGTCCCCGAGGCCATAATCCCTAGTAAATTACTACTCCATATTCGCGTCCCCGAGGCCAGAAACCCTCGAAAATTATACAATAGTCGCGTCCCCGAAACCGTAATCTGTTGTAAATTACACCATATTCGCGTCCTCGAAGCCATAAACGATATTAACTTACGCGATACTCGCGCCCCCGAAGCCATAGACCCTGGCAAATTACAAAATACTCACGCGCCCGAAACCATAAACACTAAAAATTATACCATATTCACGTCCCCACGGCCATAAACCTTTGTATATTACACCATACTTGCATCCCCGAGGCCACAAACCCTCGCAAATTATACAAGAGTCGCGTCCCCGAGGCTGTAAACCCTCGTAAGTCAAGCAATGTTTGCGACCCCGAGGCCATAAACCGTCGTAAATTAAGCAATAGTTACATCCCCGAGGCCACAAACCCTCGTTCATATTCGCGCCACCGAAACAATAAATCCTCGTAAATTGATATTGGCCCTCGCGTGAAGTCCCGACATTGTTTCACGTCAGCGTCCAGACATCCCAACACAGCAATGGCAAGTCCCATTCTAAAAGAGGGGGGCCGGCGGCATGGGGGCGAAGCCCTTACGGATATTCCTGCTCAAACTGTGCATTGGGCCCCTGTTTACAATGACAACATCGGTTCCCCGCCTGATTCTTCGTCACGCTGTATCGACAAGTCGCGCTCTGGCGCGGGACTTCCTCAGAAATTATCAAGGTATCGCGCTCTCGAGCGGTACCTCCTCGCAGTGTATTCAGGCGCCGCGCCCTCGACACTCAGGAATCGCGCTCTCGCTGTGGCCTATCTCAAGGTTTACTTGGGAATCGCGCTATCACTTGATTTGTTTCGCGATTCGCACAGACTCACGTCTCAGCAACCCCGCTAGGGTCTGCCCACCCCATCCGCCCGTCTGGTTCTGCCACGTGTTTTCTGTTCCTAGTCACCCTCCTGCTAATACCTCTCGTGTTCCATCCTTCTCCCTCCCACTTCCATCCATCCTCTCTTCCCCTGTTTCAGGGGCTGCACCAAATTCAAGTAGCAAGTAAGAAAGATATAACCCCAGGGGGGCGCGATCGAAGACGAAACGGGCGGGTACCGAGGGTTCGGGATATACGTGTTGAATAGTACGCGAGCGGATAGGAGCGAACAGTATTGAAATGACTGTTGCTGTGGTTATGGAATTCTCCTTTCCAAGAAAAAAGGAATTATTAATTATCCCCTGCGCGGTAACAAGTGCATTTCGTTTCGATTGAAGTACTCCTCCTGGGGCTCGCACCGTCTATTTTACAAAGGGAAGCTCAGCATCACCAAACTCGAACCCTGGCCCCCGATTTACAACAACCACGGCTCCCGTCGGATGATTCCTCATAACGCAATGAGAAATCACGCTGTCGCACGAAAATTCCTCACAATGCATAGCGGAATCGCGGTCTCGCGGGGGATTTCCACACAAGTTATTCAGACGTCGCGCCCTCGACAGTCAGGAACCACGCTCTCCCCGCGGATTGCCTCACGATGTATTTGGGAATCGCGTTATCGCTCGAGACTTCTTCGCGATTCATGCAGGACTCACGCTTCAGCAAGCCGCGTGTTCGACCTGGCCGCCTGGGCCCGCATGCCCGACCCGCCCGTTTGGGCCTACTCGCGCGATCTGCCCGTCTGATTCTGCCACCTGCTTTCTGCTCCTAGGCCCCCCTGCTGTGATTCGCGCTCGTGCTCCATCCTCCTGCCTTCCCCTTGTCCTTTCGTTCCATCCGTCGTCTCCTCCCCTGCACTACGGGCTTCACGAAATACACGCTGCAGCTAAAAAAGATATACCCCCAAGTGGGGTACGGTCGACGACGAAATAGGCGGGTATCAGGGGGTTGGGGTATACGTGTTGAATGGCACGCGAGCAGGTAAGGGCGAACAGTCTTCACATGAGTGCTGCTGTTGTGACTGTTGGTTGTCGGTTGTTGGTTGTTGATTATTGGTTGTTGGTTGTTGGTTGTTGGTTGTTGGTTGTTGGCTGGTTGATGGTTGGTGGTTGCTGTTGATGCTGTTGTCGTTGTCGATGTTGCCGTTATGCTGCTATATTGTTGTTGAATGTTCACTCTTGACGAAGCACGGCAGATCCCACTCACCAGCGCGCATGTTCGCGCTCAAACTTGGCTGTTGGGCCCCAACTACAACAACAACAACAACAACAACAACAACAACAACAACAACAACAACAACAACAATTACTAGCACGTGGGGACACACCGTTCTCACCAGTGCCAGGGTTTTCATAGGAGGCGGGCAATACCCCCACTTTGTGGGGGGGCCGGTTCAAGCTCTACCAAATTTCCAAACGACTCTTCGCCACCACCCACACCCAGCTTCCCGCCCTATGACGTTCGGACACTTCACTTCGTGGCATGCGGACGACCGTGGCTACTATTCAGGGCCCCGCGGCCGACGACGACGGCGTGCGCGCGCGAAGAAAAAACGAATGTGTCCCGCATGGTATTATTTGACAGGGATGATGGCCCTGGCAGGTGCGCAACCGTTGTTGCAGAAGTTCGAAAAAGTTGCTCGCAAAAGCCCGTTTGACAGAAATGTTTAAAAAGTGTTGGGTTTCCTACGAATCCGCAAGAGCGCGCGGGATGAAATTTTGACAATTTTTTTTGAAAAACCATTGGTTTTTTGATGTTTTTATGTTAAAATCGCTACGAAAACTAAGGTTTTGGAAGGATTTCGTCTTGCGCGCGCGAATGTCCACTTTACCTTATTTTTTGCAAGGGATTCTTGAAGTTTGGTTATGTTAGAACAAGAAATGTCCACTTTAGCTTATTTTTTGCAAGGGAAAACCGATCGTAACAACACAACCGGATCCAGACTCCCCCGTTTTGCCTGAGACTTCCTCACGAAAATGATGAAAATGAGGCTGCGGCCTAGGCGCGGCGGGGGGGTCGTGCACCAGGGGTCCCAACAGTAATTATTCTTTAGAAGTAATAATGTTCAACAGCTCCCGCCGGATACGTCCTGACAATGTTTTCCGACGACATCGCGCTCTCGCGCAGGACTTCCTCGCAATGTACGCAGGAATCGCACTTTTGTTTGGGGATTCCTCCCAGTGTCTTCAGACGCCGCGCCCTCGACACTCAGGAATCACGCTCCCGCTCCCGCTATGGCCTCTATCACGATTTACGTTGGAATCGCGCAATCGCTCGAGACTTCCTCACGATTCATGCAGGCTCACGCTTCAGCAACGCGCTTTCTCGACCTGGCCGCCTGGCCCGCATGCCCGACCAGCCCGCCAGGGTCTGCCCGCGCGGTCTGCCCATCTGGTTCTGCCACGTGCTTTCTGCTCCTCGCCCCCCTACTGTTCATTGTTCTTATGTTCCGTCCTTACCGTTCCCCCTTCCATCCGTCCTCTCTTCCCCTGTGTTAGAGGCAGCGCTAAACGCACGCGGCAGGTAAGGAGGATATACCCCCAAAAGAGGCACGATCGAAGACGAAGAGGGCGGCCACCGAGAGCTTGGGATATACGCGTTGAATGAATGGCACGCGCGCATGTAGGAGCGACCAGTCTAATGTGTGTCGTTGGTATTATTGAAACCTCGCTCTTGAAGGGTAACTATTGTTGATCCCCCACACCGGTGCACACTGTGTTTTTTCAACTGATGTACCCCCCACGGGGCACGCACCCTGATTTTCATCAGGGAGAGCATTCGTACTCCAACTGTTTCTGCGGCCCCCTATGACAACAACAGCGGCACCCGCCTGATATGTCCTCACAATGTATTGAAAAATCGCGTTTTCGCGCGGAACTGCCCCACAATTTGTACAGGATTCCTGCTCTCCCGTGGGACGTCCTCGCAATTTACTCGAACGCCACGCACACGACACTCAAGAATCACACTCTCGTTCTGGTCTCTCTCGCGATTTACTTGGGAACCGCTATCGCTTTCTTCGCCGTTCACCCAAGACTCACGCTTCAACAACCCGCCTGCTCGACATGGCCACCTGGGCCCGCCTTCCCGACCGCCCGCTAGGGTTTGCAGATCTGGTTCTGCCACCTGTCTTCTGCTCCTGGCCTCCTTCCTGCTAGCTTCGCTCGTGCTCCATATGTTTCACTCCCCCGTTCAATCCGTCTTCTCCCCCCCTATTTTAGGGGCTGCATTAAATGCACGTGGCAGACAGGAAGATATATCCCAAAGGGGGTACGATCGAAGAAGAAGAAGAAAAACAAGAAGAGGGTACCGAGGGTTTGGGGTATACGTGTTACATGGCAAGCGAGCACAAGGAGCAAGCAGTCCTAAAGTGCGTGTTTTTGAATCCACAATTCTATACAATAAGTAATGTTAAGCCAACGTTCGCACGGGAGCCTCGTTTTCAGAGACAATGTATCTGGCGTCGAGGCGAGTGCGCGCGGAACCGTTTCTGGAGATCAACAAAAATATCTAGAAGTGAGCAATTCAACAACAACAACAACAACAACAACAACAACAACAACAACAACAACAACAACAACAACAACGTTGTCGTCGTCGACGTCGACTTTCACGTCGTCGTCGTCATCATCATCATCATCATCCTCATCATCAGCAGCAGCATCAGCATCAGCATCGTCGTCCTCTGCGTCCCTCTCATCACTCCCTCTCCTCCGCCCTCCCTCCCTCCCCCTCCTCCTACTCCTCCTCCTCACTCACTCACTCACTCAATCACTCACTCACTCACGCACTCACTCAATCACTCACTCACTCACAACCTGTTTTCCTCCTTCCCTCGCTCCGTCCCTCCCTCCATCCATCCAGACCTTCTCAACATTCCCTTGCTCCATCCCTTATTCCCTCCCTTCCTCCCTCATCACCGAGGACGCGAAGAAAAACGCGATCCTTCGGATTGGACGCCACCGACAACACCGTGCCCGAGACCTCGGCCAAGGCACTGGGGACTCCCTCCCCCCCCGCAAAGGGGGGAGGAGGAAGCGCACAGCCAGCCGTCAACAGGCTGGAACACCATCCTGAAGCATGGATTTTCAAAAACAACAGAACACAAAAAAACAAACAACAAAAAAAAAAAAACAAAAAAAAAAAAAAAAAAAAAAAAAAAAAAAAAAAAAAAAAAAAAAAAAAAAAAAAAAAAAAAAAAAAAAAAAAAAAAAAAAAAAAAAAAAACGAGCTGGCAATCCTACAAGCGGATGGAAAAGCACTGAGCCAGCACAGAGAAGGAAGGCTTCTGGGACATCAGCCTGCCTGCAAGGCGACACGCGGGCCTGCTGATGAAGATGGAAGGGGGAAGGGCAGGATCAATCAACATCGAATCGGTAAATCGGATAGACTTAAAATCTGCATCGGAACGGGCTGCATCAGCACGGAGTCGAAATCCGCCGACCCTGTCGGCATGTGGAAGAGGCTGTTCCGTTTGCCTCGTCGTCGTCGTCGTGGTCGTTGTCGTCGTCGAGCGCGCCAGCCACAGCGAAATCGAGCAATGTTTTAGTGGAGTCGAAGGGAAGCCCCTTCCCTTTGATCCCTTCCCCGCCGGGGGGGGGGGTCCTGGGGAAGTCCCGGGTCAGATACGACTCCCCCCCGGGCAGTTCGGGGGCCCAGAAAAGCACCAAGACGCGCAAAAATTCCCCTAAATGCCCCCAAGACGGTCTCGAGGGCCCCGAATCGCCGAAGTATCGGTCCAAGTCGAAAAAGTAGCCTCAAGACGGCTCTCAAGTTTTCCAATACGTCCCAAGAGGCCTCCAAGAGGACTTCAAAGAGGGCACCAAGGAACAAAAATCATAGATGTCCCTTAGCGTGTTGAAAGATTTCGGCATTCTCGCCTTGTCAGCTTCCCGACGCTCCAAGACAGGCCAAGAGACATTTCGAGTCCTCGGCTTGAGAAGATCTCAGGAGACCCCCAGAGGCCCCTAGGAAGCCCCCCAAAAAATCCCCAAGAGACCCCCAGGAAGCCCCAAGAGGCCCCCACGAGGCTCCCAAGCGGCCCCCAAAAGCTTCTCAAGAGGCCCCCAAACTACCCCCAGGAGGCCCCAGAGAGCTTCGTCGTTGTGGTCGTGGTTGTCGCCGCCATGCAGGGTCAGCGGCACCGGCCGTAAGGCCTTCGAAGTAGAATCGAATCGGCTGCGTCAGAATGTACAACAGCGCATGCGAGCATCGGGCCGTATCGGATCGTGCGAATATCGGAATCGAATTGGATCGAGGGTTCAGAGATCGATATCGAATCGGATCGATCGGATCGACATGGACCCTGGGAAGGGGGGGGGAGAGTTGGGGAGTGCTGCACCCCTCGCACAACCACAAGAAACCCAACCCGGAGACCCCAGGACGTCCATTGATGATTGGTGTGGGAACGTCACGCTTTCATAGCAAAACCATCCAAACCCAAGAAACCCAAGGCACCCTGGAGGCACGCAGGGTGTTTCTTGGCATGGGCCCCCACTGTATTTCTCTCTTTTGGGCCGCGGACCCATGAACGATCAACGACAATCTAAAATGAAAAACAAGTCCCGAAGGTGAAGAAGGGAGCCCTGGCCCACGAGCTTATACACAACAAGAAGACAACAAGAAGACAAACAGACGGTTAAAAGCTGGGATCTCCACATGCGCATCAAATATCTAACACACTGTCATATGAATCCCTGAGTGTGAGTGTGTGTGGGAGCATCGCGTTTCAGCTGAGTATGAGTTGAGTTATTTCCGAGTTTTCTGGCCGCTGCACGTTTCGATTAGACTTCAGAGTTCCTCTTTCACTTCACACCCAGTGCTTGCATGTTGCGGTGATGCTGCTTGCGCGCCGCACTATCGACAACATTCGGTCGCCATTAACACCTCCGTCTCCTGTTCGCTCCGGAGGATCCTCTGCGCCGCCGACTTAAAAACGTGCCAAACTGTATTTGAGCGAGACGGGAAACGACTGGCGGCATAGGAAAGAGTCTACGTACGAGCACCTGGCTGTGAATGGGTCGTGGCGCACCTGAGAACTCGTGGCTGAATACCAACGACTCCCATCCTTCCCTCTCCCCCCTCCTCCCTATCTCTTCCCTGTCGACCTCTACCCTTCCCCCCCCCCTTCCCCACCTCCCCAACCCCCTCATCCCCCTTTCCCCCCACCCAGTTCCTGCTCCCCCCCCTCCTCCTCCTCCCTCCCCTGCCCCCTCCCCCCCTCCCCCCCTCTCCCCGCCCCTACCTCCCCCTGCAAGGATGGCGCGTTTTGCGACCTTACCCGGCCAAGGACCGTTTACAGACGCCCCTCCAGGACTCAAGGTGGTCACCCGCCCATTCGAGGGCACCGACTTTGGGGGTCGCCCCAGTAGTCTTGCTCCGCTGCGCGCGTGGACCGCCCATCGCAGGCGGCAAAGGCGCGACGACAGGGCCCCCACATTGACAAGTGCGAAAATTCCCTTCGACTGCATTTGAGTGGTTTTCAAGCGAACCGCATCACTTGGCGAGGGGCGGTTCTCCTCGCGGTCTGCCAGGTCCCTCAATCTGGAAAGCAATTCGTGGCCAGGGAAGGACCTCGTGGGGAGGATCGGATGGGAGCGAGTTGAGAAAACAGCAGGTCAACACCGGTCCCTGGACCATTCCCAACGCCCAAACGAACCAGATTTCCGAGCTGCGTCCAGCCGTGGCGGCGACGAAGGAACCCCCCGAAACCAACGACTCGTTGTCTCACCTAGACCCCTTCGCAGAAGAGGTGCGCAATGCAGCACCTTGTCCGAAGTACCCCCAGAACCTTCCACCACGACCACAACGAACCCCCATCCTTCCCTCCATCTCCCCCCCCTTCCCCCCCCATTCTGGCCGCGGGTCTGCCCGAGCGCCCGAGCACGTTGATGGGAAGCCGGCGTAACCACCCCAGCCCAGCTGGGGTGGGGTGGTTGCGCCGGCTCCACCCCAGCTAGGGCGGGGTGGACCGTTCCTACGAACGGCCCGCCGCCCAACAGAAGCCGCCCCAGGGGAGGAGGGGGTGCGCAGGCGGGGGCCTACAAATATGCACACACGGGAGGATGACGACAACGGCGACGATGAAGTGGGCCAGCTTCCTCGCGCCGAAGCCGCTGCCGCCGCCTCCACCGCCGGCGGCTCCCCGTAGCAGCGTCTCGGCTGGCATGGCCCCCGCCGGCAGCAGCACCCAGGCAGCGCGCGGCTCCCGCGGCCCCGCAGCTGTCCGCGCACCGCGTCCTGGGGCAAATTTCCGAGCGGCGCCGCGCCGCCACCAGCCTGCCTGGCCGCCCAGCCGCGGCCGCCCGGCGCCCTGGCGAGCCCCGTGCAGCGTGCGCCACGCGCCCTCGCGCCGCCCGCCGCCCGCCAGCAGTCAGTCTGGTGTGATGCGTGCGGTGCGCTCCCTGTCCCAGCTTGCAGCATGCCCTCGGCCCGCAGTCAGCTCGGCGCCGCCGCCCACTGGTCGGGCTGCTTCCCGCGGCGTCAGGCCAGCTTGGCTGCGCGGCGGCGGTGCAGCAGGGCCAGCTGTGCCTGCACGGCGCAGCAAATGACCCTGTAGGCCCGAATCTGCTCGCCGAGCTGCCCGTCCTCTGGCAGGGTTCGTACCTGCTGCAGAAGCCATTGCTGGGCTTCTCCGCCCAGACAAACCAGGGCTTCCACCACGAATGGCGTCAGCCTGACGCCCAGGTACCTGGCGTGCTTTGGCGCTCGCCACGCCGCGCGGCCTCGCCAGGCTGGCGCGCCGCCGCCGCCGCCGCCACGCCCTCCGCCGCCGGGTGGCGGACCGACACATCGATCCACTGCCAGCCGGCCCCTGCCCCCTCCCCCCCCGCCCCTCCCCCCTTTCCCCTCCCCCTCCTCCCTACCCCCGCCGCAGCCGGGAGCGGCGCGACCGTGACGGACACGCCGCACACGCGGCCCCTGTGGGCGCGCGGCGGCGGAACGGCCGCCGCCTTCTTGTGGGGCGGCCTCTCGGGTTTCGGGAGCCCTGCCTGGCGGGGGGGCGCGTTGTCGGCTGAGGGAATCGCACGCCACAGAGGGGAGAAGGAAGAGGTCCGACGGGTCCGGCGCCGCCGCGGCGAGGCGAGCCCCGACCTGAGGGGCTCCCTCGGCACAAGCTCGAGGCAGGCCCCGAAGATCGCAGCCCATCACACGTCGCATCTCTGCCCAGGTCAAGAGACGACGGGGGGAGAATGGGCGGGGAGGGCGGGTCAAAGGGGAGATGCCGATGGAGGACCGATGAGTGCCAAGGGGAGTCGAGGATCGGAAGGATCGAGGAGAGGAGCTCTCCTCATGCCCCTGCCTCCTCACCAACCCTCCTCCTCCCCCTCCTCCCCCTCCTCCCCCTCCTCCTCCTCCTCCCCCTCCTCCCCCTCCTCCTCCTCCTCCTCTCTCCTCCTCCTCCTCCTCCTCTCCTCCTCCTCCTCATCCTCCTCCTCCTCCCTCTTCCTCCCTCCTCCTCCTCCTCCTCTCCTCCTCCTCCTCCCTCCTGTCCTCCATGTCCTCCTCCCCCGCTCTTCTCTCAACGCACCAAGTGCAGTACACTTCTCCTCCTCCGCCTCCATCTCCCTCCTCCTCCTCCACCTCCTCCGCCTACTCCGCCTCCCCCTCCTCCCTCCTCACTCCTCCCTCCTCCCTCCTCCCTTCTCCCTCCTCCCTCTTCCCTCCTGCCTTTTCCCTCTTCCCTCCTCCCTCCATTCGAGAGCCATTGCAGGATTTGTTCAAGCTTGTGTACCCATGCTATGTGGACGCCATGAGTTCTCATGGATACGATTTGAGTGCTACAGAGCTGTTGCTATTGCGCGAGTGCGCACGGCGCAACGCAATAATATTGCGACAGGTGCGGGAGAAGCATGAGGGTCTTCGCGCAGAATTCAAGGTGCACAAGTATGTCTGTCCTGCCGGCGACGATGAGAGTGCAACTGTGATTGCTACAAGCGCCGATTCTGGGAGGCGTGCCGCACGGGGCGATCACGAGCGGTTGGAGTGCGTGACGAGACCAGCGCCGCCGCCGAAAAGTCCGCCATGGCCTCGTGGAGACGGCGCCCCCCGAGGGAGGTGGCGCAGTCAAGCGCAGCCGTGCGGCACAGGAGGCACTGCGCTCGTCACCCGCGGCGCACTGGCGGATGGCGGCGGCGACGGATGGAATCAACGCCCCCAAGAGTGGGCCAGCTCTTGGGTCGACGGGTCCAATTGCTGCGTGGAGCGGGGTAGCGTCCAGGGACGGGACGGACTGCGCAGGCGACTGCGCGGAAGGGGAGAGGAGGGGGGGGGGCGCTTCAAGCGGTCGAGATGCGACCGCTCCGCGAATCAACGTGACTGTTGCGCCCTGACCTGCACCTTGCCAGAACACTTTGGGGGGGGTACCTCAACACCACGAACACCTGTGACTGTTGCGTCATGACAATCTAAAATCGTCCCAGAACACACTCCTACGGACTTCAACCCTACGGATCATTCAAGCTGTTGCAAACATTCCCGACGAATGTGCGCGGTGCTGAGGCGAGAGCCCCATTTTGAAAAAGAACCGGCCTCCATCCGTGAAGCTGTTGCACATGTTTAAGACACGTGCGCGCGGCGCTAAGGCGGAATACGATTTGTGGAAACGATCCGCTCTCCATCCTTGAAGCTGTTGCAAACCTTCACACAACGACTGTGTGCGACGCTAAGCCCTCCATCCTTGACACTGTTGCACATGTCAAGTTTCAGGATCACAAGGTGGTGGGGAAGTCTCAGGCGAAACGCCCGGTCCAGCCTACGGACACGTCGGGAGTGCGACAGGGAGGAGGTTTTCATAAAGAAGATGGGTGGGGGAGCAGCATGCCGAGGAGTGTGAGGAGGAGAATGATCAAGATGTTGATGATGACGATGAGGAGGAGGAGGAGGAGGAGGAGGAGGAGCAGCAGGAGCAGGAGCAGGAGGAGCAGGAGGAAAACGAGGAGGATGAGGAGGAGGAGGGAGGAGGGAGGAGGGAGGAGGGAGGCGGCAGGAGAGACAAGGGGACAGGGATCAGGGAGCAGGAAACAATGAGGACAAGGACGACGGAGGGCGGAGGAGGGAGGAGTGAGCAGGGGACAGTGACTTGGAGGGAAGAGACGAAGGTAACAGGACAAGGAGGGATCCTTCCTCCTTCCCCCCGTCTGGTGATTTGATGACGGTCAGCTGCTCGTGAAGAAAAGGAATAGAGCATGAGGACGACGGGGAGGCAGAGACGGGATGGAGGAGTAAGAGGTGGAGGAGGAGGAAGAGGAGGAGGCGGAGGAGGGAAAAGGAGGGGCGAGGAGGGAGGAGGGAGGAGGAAGGAAAGAGGAGGGAGGAGGGAGGAAGGAAGAGCGAGAAAACAGGGGGAGGAGGGAGAGGGAGGAGGGAGGAGGGAGGGGAGGAGGGTGCAGGGAGGGGGGGAGGGGGAGGGAGGAGGGAGGACGGAGGAGGGAGCAGGGAGGGAGGAGGGAGGAGGGAGGGAGGAGGGAGGGAAGGAAGGAGGAGGGGAAGGGAGGAAGGAGGGAGAAAACAGGGGTGAGGAGGGAGGAGGGAGGAGGGAGGAGGGAGGAGGGAGGAAGGAGGAAGGGAGGAGGGAGAAGGAAGGAAAGAGGAGGGAGGAGGGAGGAGGAAGGGAGGAGGGAGGAGGAGGGAGGAAGGAGGGAGGAGGGCCAGAACAGACTCGCCAGCGTCGACGACAGGCGCATAGGTTCGAGCCTCCTTTACCAAATCTACAAAGTGAACTACTCTAGCGCCAAAAGCTCTGTCTAAGTGCGCATCCTGCAGATCGTCCACTGTGTTTTTCACGTGCATGAGAAAATTGCCCAATTTGCTGATGCCGAAGTACTCCACTATGCCACCATGCCACGTCGGTAATGCTGCCCACGCTCAGTGTCTGTGCCAACAACCTCGATCTTCCGATGCCCGTCACCGCCCATGCGTTCGTAATCATCCAGGTTGCCCATGTGGCCCAACATCTGGTGCCAAGAAAATATCTCTCACATCATCCTTGCATACAGTATGGGCGCGACCGCAAGAAACCCTCGCAAGAAACCCAACACTGAAAACCCGCGCGCGAGGTGCACTTGAGAGGAAACCCCGGGCACCCTGAACGCACCCGCTCCTTCCCCGGCTGCGGGAAGCCACCGCGCGGCGCGCGGAGCGAAGAAACTCAGGATACCCTGACGAAAAGCAGATGGTTTCTTGATGCGCGCCCCCACCGTAATCTCTTTCTCGCAGTCGCCAGTCGCGCGTCTCTGTTCGAAAGCCGTCAACGAAGCGCTCTCGCTCTTCACAGCGCACACGCACGCACTCAAGACGCGGTCCTGCCCCTTGATTTTCTGACACAACATCTGCTCTTCTGGCAGCATGCCGACATTGCGATGCGTCAGATCGATGTGCTGTTGCGCCTGCGGTTTGATCACCTGCTTGCACGCCCAATTCATCACGTCGTCCAGGGCTGTGATATTGCGAACCTTCTGGGGCACTTCTTCTGCAGTCTCGCCGAGCGTCCGCGGCAAGAACCTTCTCGCGTCTGCATGCCGCAAGCCACTTTGATGAGCGTTGCCGAACAGTGCATAAATGCCACAAGCACCGTCATCATCCGTCTGGATTTGATGTATACCGCCGGTTGAACAGCGCCTCTACTGTCTCAAGAATGCCCACGCCGCCGCCCCAGACAAGAAGGCATCCGTCACGATCCATTCTCACCGCACTGCGCGACAACAATGTCTCCGCTGCACGCAGGCGAAGGCGCGGCACTGTGCAGCCCGCGTATACGCCATCACCTGCGCGCTCCCACACATCGCCCAGGCCGCCTGCTAACGAATAGAGCCACGGAGGAGCGCCCGCTTCCCCGCCGGTCGCAGAACGGGCCAGAGCCCTTCCTTCGCTAGCCGCGCGAACGACGTGACCTGAAGACAGCCACAAAACTGCCCCCGCACACACGCCCGCGTCGTCTCCCAGCACCCATCTACGGCGCGCCGTCTCGCCCATGTGCATTTGTTGTTGACCAGGATGGTGAAGGGTCAATATTTCGCCAATGTGGCGTTTCTGGCGCACGTAGCGCCCCTGGCACGCGCGCACACCCCTGGGCTTCCCGCGCAAAGCTTGAGTCTGCATTGGTTCCCCATGGATGTCGATGGCGGCCCTTACCTATACTGAGACTCGGATGCTACTTCTGTAGTGGGAGATCGGTTACGAGTGAGGAAGACAGGACTGCGGCGTTCTCGCTGGAAACTGTATCAGAAGTCCTTATGGATATACACCCTGCCCCGCCCGACCAGCGACAAACCGGGGACTATGTGGACATTGTTCGCGGTTTGGGGGAAATCTCACGCTTTCAACTTCCCGACGCTCGTAGAGGACCCATAAGGCCCCCACGACGGCCCCACGACGGCAGAAGCGGCCTCCACGACGCCCAAAAAGGCCCCCAAGACCAACTCCAAAAGAAAGCCAGCTGGAAGACCCGAACGAAAACACCGAGCACTCGGCCCCAAGAAGCCCCCAGGAGGTTCCACCAGACCCCCAAAAGGACCACACGAGGCCCCCACTGGCAGGCATCTACTACACCCCCAAGGGGTCGGCGGTGCGGCGTCAGCCCGAGAATCACCTTAATTCGCGGAGTTGCTATCCCAGTGATCCCGACAGCCCTTTGGTCTTACGATATCTGTTGTTCCTAGTTCCATCTCCACTCCCTGAGGTTTTTTGGAGCGGGCCGCAATGCGTCAAAGGGTCCTGTTTCGCCCAAGATGGCTCCAAAATGGCTCCAAGATGGCCGCAAAGGCGGCTCCAAATAGCCGAATACGGTTCAAGATAGCTTCCGACATACCCCCAATTGACCCGACGAGGGCCACAATACGGTTCCGAGCCTCTCGGAGCATCGTCAGGACCCCCAAGAGGCCAAAATCCTTCAAACATCAAAGGAAACTCAATTATTTGTGCATTCTCGCCTTTTCGCTTCCGATGCGCTTCTGAGGCCTCAAGATTGCCCGAGGATGACCCAAGAGGGCCC